TGAAGGGAAAGACAGACCTGATCTGTGAGTTTTTTTTTAATTCTTCACTTTGACTTTTTGTATTGTACCTTTAATGTGCTTGGGTAGTTGTTGCACAGTCCTGACATTGGCAACTAAAGTTGAATTAAAGCTGTTAAAACGTCTCCAGCATGAATGTAAACAACTATTAACATTATGACTGCTAAATATGGAAGATGCAGTTGAATGATGAATTCCTTAAAGGAAAACTATAGTCACCTAAATTACTTTAGCTAAATAAAGCAGTTTTAGTGTATAGATCATTCCCCTGCAATTTCACTGCTCAATTCACTGTCATTTAGGAGTTAAATCACTTTGTTTCTGTTTATGCAGCCCTAGCCACACCTCCACTGGCTATGATTGACAGAGCCTGCATGAAAAAAAAAAACTGGTTTTCACTTTCAAACAGATGTAATTTACCTTAAATAATTGTATCTCAATCTCTAAATTGAACTTTAATCACATACAGGAGGCTCTTGCAGGGTCTAGCAAGCTATTAACATAGCAGGGGATAAGGAAATCTTAATTAAACAGAACTTGCAATAATGAAAGCTTAAATAGAGCTCTCTTTACAGGAAGTGTTTATGGAAGGCTGTGCAAGTCACATGCAGGGAGGTGTGACTAGGGTTCATAAACAAAGGGATTTAACTCCTAAAGGGCAGAGGATTGAGGCTGCAGGGGCATGTTCTATACACCAAAACTGTTCATTAAGCTAAAGTTGTTCAGGTGACTATAGTGTCCCTTTAACATGTGTATGGATGTGACAGTGTAAGAGGAAAATCATTAGTGACCATTATTATGTATATACCCAATACCATATATTTTTTTCAATATATCGGTTTTATTAGTTTTTAAGACAAGGAATATAACAGTTACACAGTTTGGGAATACATTATGGCTATATATGCCTGATCAATGCACTTTTGTACAACATAGTTTAAAAATCTGTTTGCCATGCAACATCTGAAAGTCTTAGAGCCGTACATAGTATCCTATAGATTACATTGCATTTATCATACAGATGCATATTCTGAATAGATGCCATGTAAGGGCACATCATCTCAAGAAAGTGTGATAAGCCTTCCCAGCTGTTGTAACCCTAAGGATCTGCATGATACCATAGTGTGATGAATTAGGAACTTAATAAAACCAAAAGGACTAAAAGAACTAGGTGTAAGGGGAGATAACATAACTCTATGTGATGTGGCAATGGAGTTCCCTTGCAACGTAATAGATTACCGGATGGAATTACCGCACTGGAACTACTTCTACCTATCTCATGTGTGGAGTGCATCGGCTGTGTCACACCACCTATGTGAGAGGGCGAGGGCAAGGACCCTTTGTTTATGATTCATACCAGCAACTTATCTTTCCTGCTATTAAATTAAATGGCTTGATGAAATTAAATGGCTGGCTGGATAGACCGGGAAAATGGCCTTGAGAGTGAAGGATACAGGGGACCGATACTGTAAGGTAATGCACCCGGCTATCAACCCGGCTTGCTGTTCATGCTACACATTATCACAACCACCCCATCTACTGTCATACTACGCCAAGTTACCTTGCATGCGGTTGAACATTTTTTCATAAAGGCTAATGGAGTTAAGCCTTTGGGTGACCTCCCCCAGCGAGGGGGCCACTGGGCTTTTCCAATGGAAGGCTATACATGTTTTAGCAGAGGTGTGGAGATTCAGGAGTGCATGATCTGTTTTTCTCACATTTCTTGAGGCAACTATTTTTAATGCGTAAATATTTCCCTGCTCTGTAGAGAGAATTCTTCTCTCAACTGTGGAAATGACTTAGAGCACCTCCTAGACTATGAAGGCATTATTTTAGTTATGCCCTGTGTAATCCAATTTTTAGTGGTAGATTTGGTGTTATGGATGTTAGTGTTCGTATATGGGCAACAGACAGCAAGGTTTCAGACTGTAAGCAGGGTGTCTGCCACAATTGCCAAGATTTAAGCATGAATTTAGAGTTTGGTAAACCTCCTCTATCCAGGGTATGAACTTGCCCATATGAAATCAACTAATAAGTCAGCCTGTGCACAGGTCGATTCCAGGGGTAGCCATATCGGACCATTGCATCTTGTTATACGCTCCAATCCCTGAGCTAGCAAAGTAGTATAGGTGAAAACATGGGATCCCCAGACCCCCTTTGTTAAGTGGCAGCCAGTTTAGATTTGCTCTGACCCTAGGCAGTTTTCTTTTCCAGATGTGTGTCTGATGACTGCTATCAGTTTTGCGTATAATTTGACGCCTGCATTTAACAGGGAAATCGGGCGCAAGTTTGCCCCAGATGTAGGTGGTTTGTTAGGTTTGGGCAATGTTATGATGTATGGCTCCAACATTTCCGATGGCATATCGCCAGATTGTTTTATCACATTAAAAAGGTGTGCTAGGTGCGGCGTTAAATATCATTCAAGTTTGATATAATAATTTGTGAGACCATCTGGTCCGGATTCTTTATGTTTGGACATGGATTTAATTGCTTCTCTAACCTCCTCTTCTGTAAAAGGAGTGTCTAAAGCCTCGGATTGCAAAGTGAGAGGCCCGTTAGCGCGACATTATTTTAAAAGGCTTGAATATCGGTAGGTGCTGGGGTGTATACTGCTTTGTCCTCCTTTTAAATTATAACGGTGAGTGTAGAATTTTGCAAGCTCCTCAACTATCATAGTGGGGTTGTAGAGTTTATCACATGTGGGGGAGAATATGTAGGGGATTTTGGTTTGGCGATAATTGGTTTTAAGCTTATTGGCTAGTAACCTACCGGCTTTATTGCCGAACGAGTATTATTTTTGTTTAGTTTGCTTGATCTGTTTTTCTGTTTTATGTAAGTTCAGTTCTTGCAATTCGCGTGGAACTGCTCCTATTTGCTTGGACAAGTATTTAGATGGCTATGTTTTATTCTGCATTTCCAGTGCTACTAGATCTTTGAGACATCTAGAACGATCCCTACATCTCTTTTTCTTACGCTGGGAACCTAGCTTAATCAGCAGTCCCCGGAATACTGCTTTAAGGGCTAACCTTAGGGTAGTTTGGGGCATGTCTGGAGTGTGTCGGAATAGTGGGGCTCTATTCCTTTCTCTCATAATAGCCAAAGCGGCGTCCAATGTGCAGTTGAAGTTACGCGTATGATTGCCATTTTTTTAATAGCTTCCTCCAAGAATGTATGTTGAGATTCATTGGGGGCATATAAGGAGGCTATAGTCACCTGAATCCCATTCAAGTCTCCAACTAGATTCAGCACTCTACCCAGACAGTATGTTAATTGTTTTACATTGGAGAAAGAGCATTGAAATCCCTTTTGACTTATGAGGGGCATAAGTGTGGTAGGCCACAGGATATTTGTTGGATTTAAGTTGTGGCGGGTTTCGTTTGCAAAAATTGGTTTCTTGGATGCATACCACAGCTGCATTTGTCGCATGCATATCACTCAAAGTTAGTCCCCTCTTATGTAGGCTATTTAATCCCTTGGAATTAAAGGAAAGCACTTTAAAGTGGTTATTTAAAGCCATTTTCAATCAAATATGACAGGCTAATAGTGTCATCACAGCAGTAGAGTGATTGGCTCCAATGATCTGAATGTAGTGTCAGGGACTGTCACGTTAGAGTGGGGCCTGGTTGCATTGGGCCTGTAACTTCTCCAACTGTTATGACGCTGTACGTCTGTAATGGTCAATGGGTAGTGAACAATCAAGATGCGTTATCCCAGAGAACGACATGGTAGTGAGCATATTTCTTCCAGAAAGAGTAAAACAAAGGCAATAACAAATAAAGCATTAATAAAACGAGTATATACATAACACTCTGAGTAAGTAGAGTGAAACCATAGACCAAAGTAAGGGACACCACTTTTCCGGTGTACTACTTGTCAGTGGCCAAGGAGGGGTGAACAGAAGGGAGCTCCATCCGGTACCCAATTAAGTTATGACATATTAGCAAATATTGCCATCTTATACGAAGAATAGCACGTGTCAACCCTATAGTAGAAGCATAGTATATTTATCTGGAATACTGAACATCTAACAATACTTCACATCTATGATAAGGCTGTGGGCATCGATAGCACCCAATTGCTAAGTAACCAACTATACCTAAAAATCCAGTAAAAGTTTCATTCGTTTTTTTTTTTTTGTTCATAAATTTAAAAATGTTTTTTTTTTAATATATATATATGTATATATATGTGTGTGTGTGTGTGTGTGTGAAAAAGGTCATAGGCCTGAATTTGTGGGAGGAGTTTTCCCTATAAAAGCTCTACTCACCAGCTTACCTATGCTGGTTCCTGTTAGAGCCAGTGATGTATCTTGGTTTTGTGCTGCCCTAGGCGAGACTAAACTCAGACACCCCCAATATAAATTTGACCCACCCCTTCCTGTCAAGGCCAAACCCCTTTCTGTTTAAGAGCCACCCTTTCCTCTGTAAACCCCACCCTTCCTCTTTAGGCTCCACCCTTTCCTGTTAGAGCTTCACATCTTCCTTTCTGTATGTAAAAGTGAATGACGAAGGCCAATATTTTGTTTTTTTTGTACCATTTCAAATGTTGCATCTATTATTTTAAGAGAATCTTTACATATAATAATATAAAGTGTAAATTCAACCACTTTACAAAGATCAGTCATCCAGGTCAACTATACTATATTGATCACAGACACTCAAGTTGTTTGAATTAGCATGTGGTCAGTCCACATGAGCAGTAACAGCACCAATGCTTCAACAGCTGTTACTGGACATGCATACACAGTTTGTGTCATTCATACAAGACAATGCCACTGTACATATCAACACATCCAGTCCATTACACTACTTTAGCCATAGCACAGACTTTCACACACCATTTACTTACATCAATCAATCAATCCATCCTGAAACTGACACGATGAGGTTTTTAATAACTTAGATAACTTTCATTAAACATATAAATATATTAAACTGAAATGCAACTTGTTGAATACAACAAATAAAACTGTAAACATTTCTGACTTAAATAAGTGCAAACTGTTGAATATTAGACTATTAGATCTAAAGTGGCTTTCACCAAACTCTCTGTGAGGCAAAGCTGTTGATGAGCTCTTCATAGTCCAAAGATTTTGTCAGCTCGGATTCTATTGCCAACACTGCCAGGGGGTTCAATCTTTCCTCTCCCATTCTGGATCGCAATTAGTTCTTCACTCGCTTGAGTCGAAAAATAAATAAATGCTTTGCAATCCTCTCTCTCGTATCATTCGGGACATCGCCAGAACAGAGGTATCTTCTGTAGAAGAACTTATTAGGTATGAACGAAAGTGGAGGCACTCCTCAACAAAACACTCCTGTTCCAAGTCTTTGCTGTAAGAAGAACAAAGGTTATTTGCATGCTGTGAAACTGCTGATGGCTCAGTTTTTGATAGATCAGTAATGAATTTAAACTTTCCATAGAAAGAGTCATATGCTGTTTTTCTTCTCATAAGTTCAGCAACTAAGTTGTCACAAATAACATAAAAGGTGTTAATGCAAAATTTTTCTTGGGCTTCCTCTGCTCGTGTCTTGCTGGAAGTTGCTAAACCTTTCCTTGCTTGTACACCTTTCCTCTTGCCGTTGTGTAATTTACACAATCTGTATATGTATACGGACTCAGTGTTAACGGTGACCGTGTGCAGCACCGCAGCTGGAGGAGATAAGGCTCACCCTAGCATTCCCGGCCCGTGACTCGACCTCCGTGTGACATCACGACGGCAACATGCGGACGCAAAAGGCCGGGGAGGTCGGGAGGAAGTCAGGAGGAGGAGCAAGAAAGTCTTTCAACTCCTTCACTATGAGGCGCCGGCAATGCTAATTTACACAATCTGTATATGTATAAAAAAATATATAAAATTGTGTAATAGTGCCCCTCACCTCCCTCCAACAGCCCAGAAATTAGCACAAATACATTAAATAAAATGTCTGCCTGTATCATTATTGTAAAAATTAAAAAAAGAACAACTTCTGACAAATGTATTTTACAGATTATTTTTTTTTTTTTAAAAAACAATGTGCAGCTAGAGATAGCACAGTATTAACCCCTTCCTAATCCACCCAGCCCCCTTAACCCATAAAACAACTAAGTAATTTATTTTTAGTTAATTACTGTAATTTAAGTACTTACAGTTTTTGAAGACAGCAGGCTCAGGGATCAGTGCATTGGGGGCCAGGGCCTGGACTCAGTGTTCACGGTGACCGTGTGCTGGAGGAGATAAGGCTCACCCTAGCATTCCCGGCCCGTGACTCCACCTCCATGTGACATCACGACGGCAACGTGCGGACGCAAAAGGCCGGGGAGGTCGGGAGGAAGTCAGGAGGAGGAGCAAGCAAGTCTTTCAACTCCTTCACTATGAGGCGCCGGCGATGCTGCTCGCATAGTGAAGGATCGGATCGGGACTCGGGGCAAAAAAAATATTTGGCATATTATTGTGTAACTATCACTAAGCAAACAAGGCATTTTGCCGCCCTAATGGCAAGTGCCACCCTAGGCAAATGTCTTGTTTGCCTCGTGATATACACCCCTGGTTAGAGCGACGTTGCCACCACAACCAGCACTTCCAGTTTCAGCCTTCTCAGTTGTTCCAGCAGCCACGGACTCCACTGCAGCCTCTCCAACCCGGCCTGCAGCACCCGAAGCCGGTTTGCAGCTTCAGTGAGGCCCCAATGGCCCACAGGGCCTTTGACCCAATCCTGACACCGGCTCCCGGCCGCTAGACACGGCATGCACACATATGCACACATTAGCTCCCTCTGTTTCGCATAATTCATGCCATTTGTCAAATTCTGTTAGTTTATATTCTGTTAGGTTAATTAATTCGTTAAAATTGGTCATTCATTTAAATCCTTTCGTGTAATAATTTTCGTTTATATCAATTAGTTTAAAATCCTTTTCGTTTAAAGCTACTCGATAATATATATATTTCGTTTTCGTCTCTTACACTCAGTGCATTCGGTCAAATTAAGCCGTACGGTTGCACACTCTATCATTCGTATGTTGGCTATATCAAATGCCCATTAAATCCTAGAATACTTAAAGGCTACCACTGTAATTTGTTTTTGCTAGTCGATTGGTAATTTTGCATAATGTCACGATTCATGTGGGGTAATTTGCAAATTAGTACAGTTAACTGTTCGGTCTAAGCAGTTCCTAGCTATAACTTAAATCTCACAGACACTTCAGTTTTGTTCCTGCACATATTTGTAGGTTAGTTCCCTAGATCTAACAAGCCCATTAACAAGCACATTACTTTCCTCACTATCCCCTGCTACACGGTTATTTAACTTGTGCACCAGCCTGCCCGGGTTACTAATATAAACTCCACCTGCATGTTAAAATGTTGCTCGCTAATTGGCTGGACTCTGTCTCACGGGATACTATTTCAAATAAATCTGTCACAATTGCTATTTAGTACGGTTGTTAGATAACGTAAACACAATTATATACTAGTCTTTATATACGAATTTTCCTCTGCACGGTACTTATATTGTCCTTATATCACACGTGTATCTTAGGTGCCTATTTCTATGGTTAGCAAGTTCCTGGTAAAACCTGGACAGCGTTGTTCTTCCGGCCAATTTTGTTTCAGGTATTTCCATTTCCTTACGCTTATATTCAATCATAACCAGTACATCAAGGCCTCGTACTGCCTTTTACGTTTACACGTTAAGGGGCTTGTCTTATTACATCCCACGTTCGGGAACCTCTATACGATATCTTACAAATCTTCTGTTGTACTATATGTTTCCAGCTTTGGCAAGCAATACCTTTGACAAACTTAAGACACATAGCGTTACTACAACACCTATCAGGTAAAAAATTTATAATTTAGTTCCGTTATTACATTTATACATTACTACTTATTACACATATCCCCAATTTTTCAGGCGCACATAAGAGACTCCTATCCCATAAGAGTTCTCTCTCTTCAATTAAGGGTATGTTTATACATACATATATATACACTGGGATATAACCATTACTCCACTTATCATTAGTTAATAATTGATCCTTTTTTTAAATCGGCATCTCTAAACTTGCATAATCCCTCCAGCTTTCTTTTCTTAGGGTCTCTCTCATCCTGTTATTAGGTACGTACGTTTACGCTGCTTTTCCATAAGACAAGCCCCAGCCAGGGATAGAGAACTGGCTGCAAGGGACAGGAGCTGCCCCTAATACTTTTAAGTTCTAGTTCCCATGAGGCCTCCCCACCTCACACGACCCCACGTTAGATTTTTTGCCTCATATCTCCTTCTACAGGGGTTGTTTTAGAATTTCACATGCCACGACCAAACTTTTTTCTTTATACTGTCACCGAGAGGCCAAGATCCGGCCACATCGTTCGGTGGCCACATTTCCCCACGTGCCAAATCATAGGTAGAGCTTCTCCATGCCACTTGGCAATTAGCAGGGATTCACCAATCACGGGTAGTTAAGTTCTTCGCCACCGGCACTAGCCTAACAAGCCAGTTTTATATACACGGTATTTCACCACTGGCTCAAAGTTTTGTATTTACTAATCTCTTCATAGGATGTCGCAAGAATCACTCCATGAAGACAACTTGTCTCTCCAGGGCTCTCCCCCCGGGCCCAATACACCCATTAGACCTATGTCACCAGCTGTATCTCTCATAATCGCTACCCCTGGTTCTCTGGGATCTTGGACCTTTCTTAAATTGGCAGCAGAACTACGCCATAGGAATGTTCCTTTCCCGGCCACAGCTAGGAAAGCAGAACTCTTTAAGTTGTTAACAGTCCAGTCCAACGATCCCTGGTCCGGCACAAGTTCTCAGGAGCCCAGTGTCAGCTGTTTGGGACAGTTTCAATACACTTTGTCATTCATCTTGTCAACCCTTCAGTCACTTAACGAGAGAATGACCAAGATAGAAATATAATCCCTACAGTTACCAGCACACCTCACACTCCAGGCCCAGCGCCTGCACCTTCAAACACGCAAGTTAGGGAAATTACCATAATTCCCCCCACTTCACATGGCATCAACCCTGTAAATTCTATTCCAACTTCCAATAGGAAAGACATTCTGGATGGCAAGGATGGCAGTCTAGTCTCTCTCCTTATAGCTTCGCAGGATAAGAGAGAATTTTAGTTTTGGTGATATGTCAGTGATCCACAAAACAAGGGACCAACCTCTTAATAAAAAGCTCCCCATCCCTGAATTTGTTCTCAGCTTCAGACTATACAGAGACGTCATCTGCTCTGTATTCCCTCAGAGGAATTCGACCTCTATCTACAAAAGGTAGTGGACCTGGGGCACAAGTACAGGGGTTTCGTCTTCTATGATTATCACAGGTCAGTTTCATCAAAGGCAGCAGCGGCTCTGGCCCAGACCAACACTCACATCGATTGGAGTCAGTTGGACACAGAGCTGTTCTGCAGGCATTTTGCCGGCTTGAGACCCCCGTCTTGTGCGGTTTGCTCCTCTACCTCACACTCCTCCAACTTGTGTCCCTGCAAAGCAGAACACTCTACATCTCAGCCCTCCACTACCTACCCATCCCCCAACCCCTCTGTCAGTCAGGATAGGGGACAGAGAGATAAGCTAGGAAGACCAGTCATATTCGTGAGCAAGGCGCAGAAATGCAACAACCTTAATGCTGGAGCATGTAACTACAATGTCTGCAGGTTGTTGCATATTTGCTACATCTGTTTCAGGGCACATATAAAAGCCATGTGCCCTTCTAAGATTTCCCCTAGGAAATCACTGACTGAGGTAAACATTGACACTGTAGCTTTCCATTTACGCACCCACCCCTCCCCTCACCTGGTGCAATATTTGATTTTTTGTTTTTTCTGAGGGTTTCCCCACAGGGTTAGTAGCACTCCCACCAGGCACACTGGAATGTCCTAATTTACTCTTGGCTACAAACAACACATCTGATGAGTTGCTACAGAGAGAGACCACATCAGGCTTTATGATCAGTCCTTTTCCGCACCCTCCTTTTTCTACATGGCGCACGAACCCAGTGGTGCAGAGTGGTTACCAACAGCACAACTAATAAAAACAGTTTGATTATCGATTTGTCGGCACCTCATTCTTCAAAAAAACATTAGTTTAAATTCATTAATACCGGCTGAAGAATTCTCTCTCCATTATGCCTACGTGGATCATGCCATACAAGCTATACTACTGGCCGGCAAACAAGCTCATGCAAAAATGTACTGGTACCCGGAGGGATCTCCAGTCTCTACTGGGATACCTCAATTTTGCGATGCATATCATTCCACAAGGGAGATCCTTCATCTCCTGGCTACGCCATGCCTGATAATGGCACCATAGTCCTCAACCCGCCAGCCGTAGCCGATTTAATCATGTGGAAGCACTTCCTAGCAGAGTGGAACGGCATCTCCATGTTCGTTCCCCCACTGACCAAGCACTCTCCTGTTATTTGGACTGATGCAGCAGCCCACTCGGGGTTTGCTGCATTTTTTGGTAACCACTGGTTCAGGGACGTGTGGCCTCAAGAGGTGCTTGCCTTACCAGCCTTCAGGGAAACTTCAGCCCTTTTCGAGATCTATCCCATTGCAGCAGCAGCTCATACTTGGGGTCAGCTGTGGGCCGGTAAATCGGTCAAGTGTTTCTCAGACAATTTGGTGGCTTGCGAAATCATTAATAAAGGGCGCTCTTCCTCCTTAAAAATAATGCGGTTATTACGTAGATTGACGTGGCTGACCGCCAAACTTCAATTCTTTCTGGTGTGCGAGCACATTCCAGGCATCCATAATACGGCAGTTGATGCTTTGTCCCGATCTCACTTTCAAGCATTCCACAAGGTGCATCCCTTCGCCAACCAGCTCCCATCCAGAATACCGACATTTCCAGAGTTAACACTGGATTAACAAAATTATTGACTCACGCACAGTCACTCTCACGAAACGTTGTGTCTGCCAACACCAAAACAGTCTACGACAGGGCGTTGACTGAGTTCCACATATTGGGTGGAGAGTTTAAAGTTTCAAATAATTACTCTATTTTTGCCACCTACACCTACAATTAGCACCTAACACTATTAAATTACATCTTACAGGTATACAGCATCACGTCCTCACAACCTTTCCCAATCACCCACCTTTTCTTTCCACGTACCCCATCAAATTTATTCTCAAAGGTATCAACAAAATAGATCGATCTCCAACTACCAATAGATTACCCATAGACGGAAACATATTCATGAACATGTCACACCTATTGGATACAAACCCCTTTAATATCCAGACTAACTCTGTCATCGAGTAGCCATTTACATCCCCTTTTACGGTTTCCTCAGACCCCAAAAGTTCACTGTGGTCCGTCAAACGGATGTCAGCTCCTGTTTAAAACTATCGGACCTAACCAAACATAGTGACCATTACATGATGTCTTGACACTCATCTAAAACCAACCACACAACCTACCCAACTACAATCCCTCTGTTTCCTACAGAGAACCTCTGGTGTCTCGTTTAAATACTCAACTTATTTATAACCACAAGTCTCAGTCTCCCACCTAACTTCAAAAGACTGGGCAGATAGAGATCCCGTTTACAGCACTTATATTCCACATCCTGCGAAAGAACTTAGGAAAACCTTTAAATGTAATAAATTATTAAAAGAAAGTGTGTTCTCTGCACTATATTTTGCCCTCTTTATTACAGGCCTACCCGTACGTTGGTTTTGGCACAACACTACCAACTTTCCCCCTCTTCTCTATTTTCATATATGAATTAAGTTCCGACCACAAGTAAAAGGCCATAGGCCTGAATTTTTGGGAGGAGTTTTCCCTATAAAAGCTCTACCCCCCGTTTACCTATGCTGGTTCCTGTTAGAGCGACCCCTCCCTCCACTCCCTCTAATAACTTACTATCATCATTACATTACCTCTGGTGGGCCCTCTTTATTACAGGCCTACCTGTTGGTTTCAGCACACCACTACCAACTATCCCCCTCTTCTCTATTTTCATATACGAATTAAGTTCCGACCACAAATATATATATATTATGTTTTTCTAATTTGCTCTGCTGGAAACGCTGAAATGCAATATCATTTTTAAACCTGCATGCCTGGTCAGTTGTCACCACACAACTTTACCTCGTGTGATTGATTTTTGACTCCAAATGCTTTACCATGCAATTAGGTTAGAGACGTTAAGGCCTATCTATCATACTCTGCATGCTATGGAGGCATCTCAGCTCGGGCCCAACAGTGCTATATTAAACAGCTATAGAAGAGGCACGCAAGGAGGCAATGTATGGTGGCCCTATGCAAGAAGGCATGTAACAACATAGCAGATACCTTTCTGTGGATTGGCACTTGAAGTGGCTGAGAGCCCCCCAGTCCTTCAGTTAAAGCAGTCATCTGGATCTGCCATAACATGTGTTCTGCCTTCCTTCCATACCAATAGCTTTGCGGGATATCCCCATTTGTAGGAGATATTGTGATTGCACAGAATTCTGTGCTGCCGTGAGTAGTAGGTTCTTGTAGTGATAGTGATAATACTCGATCACATCCCTGAGGGTGTCCACAGTGAATCTCGCCGGTATTGGTAGTCTGTGCAGACAGTCAAATTGCCATGCAGTATCTGGTGCCTCCAGGACTACGGCCTTGCAGATGGCTTTGATGTAGGCAGGAAGCGCTTCTTGCAAGATATTTTCAGGGATACCCCTAAATCTCACGTTCTCTCTCCGCAACCCGTCTTCTATGTCCGCAATTTTGTTTTTTAACGCTGAATTTTCTTAAGTAAACTTTTGCACTTTGTCCACAACTTCATAGTGGGCTTCGCACAACTCCTCAGTGCGTTGCTCAAGATGACTTGTGCGGTCCCAAAGTTCAGATATATCCTTTCTAACGTCCTCTCGGAGCATCTTACGGTCTGCAGAGATGGTAGCCTGCATTCTTTGCAGCATTCTGTCTAGGCACTTCTCCGTGACCACCTCATCCGTGTAGACTGGAGAGTGCGGTGGCTCTTGTCCTTTTTCGTGACCCGGACTGGATCCGTGAATTTCGTCTGCTTGGAAGGAGCCGTTTTTTTTTACTGGAGTGTATTACATAATATTTTACATGTGTTAATTCCATTGGCAGTCTAGACTTTGCCTTTTTTTTTTTTTATGCCCCAAATCACTACATGGTTAACAGTTATTATAATACATATTTGTGTTATTCTCCTTGAAAATAAATTTTGACATCTTATATGTATTCATCACATGCCAATGTAGAGACGGGTAATTTTTTGTTTAATTTAAAAAAAAAATCCATTGCATAAGACTGACAAAGCATCATTGGAGTTGTTTTATAATAGTTGTTGATCTACATTTTGGAGATTCTTGTCGAGATATTTACACTCCATTAATGATTAGTTGCCCCATTCCGATATACATGTTTTAGTAATCAACACCTGATGTTTGCTAATAATAAAAACATGAAATACATGCAAATGTTAATTTTATATCAGACATACATATTAATAGCACAGCTCACACTGAGTGTAATTGCCACTATAAATAAGTCCTAGGAGATTTAGTTAAGAATTTAAAAACTCAATATTCTATTTCTCATTTTTTTTCAGGAGTCAGAGAAAAAAAATCTCTCTTGTGATAGTCATTTGCTCCATACCAATATATTGAAGTGCCATTACTCCAAATAGCTTTTCCTCTTTCAATTTCATTCTGCAAGTGTCCCTTGTGCTCGTGGCAATATCAGGTCATGCACGAATGTCCCTATTTTTAGAATGGCAGATTTAGCTACAGAAAAGCTTGACTCCAAGCGTTTTGTATTCTATAGATCTGTTTAATGGGCTTGGTACCTTCCATAGACTTTGGCAACTCACATACAAGTCTGCAGAAGCATGGTTTTATCTTAAACTTTTACTCTTTGATCTTTAAACAGAAATTCCTTTTTTAAATAGCTTTAATCAGGACCTAAGAGCACGCTATATTTCTTTAGAAAAAATATAATCAGATTGTTATGATGGATCGCATTTACCCTACTGATAATAAAAAGGTCATTCATTTACTATTTAATGTTATCTCTCTCCATGCAATCTTTTCAAGAATGAGCAAATTCAAATGTTCCAATGTTGATATCGCATAAAATTACACATTCAATTTATTTTTATTAATGTACAAAGTTGTAGATGGCATTATTAGATGATGCTGGATTTAAATAATGTGGCCGTCTTTACCAGTTCAGTGCTATTTAATGTTTGAACATGCTGCCATTCCAGCCAGTATTTCTGATTACCTGCTATATGCTGTTTAATAGAAAAGCTATTTCATTAGAACTTGCCTAAAAATAGTTTAAAAGACAGTCTGATTCCGTTTTCCATTTTGCATTTAACAAGATTATCTTCATTCCTTTCTCAGGGGTAACTGCTACACTCCTTTGCTAAATGGTGAAAAATTTAAAAGGGAATTGATTGTATTAGAGCAAAATAACTGAAGTGGAAACGCTTTAAAGGGACTCTGTCACGTGCGTGGGCTATAGGCCCAGCCGAGACAGTGGGGAGAGTGTGGAAGTGACAGGGTTAATGACACCAGACCCCTGGTTACCTGTTGCTAGTCCCAGCAACCACTCAATTAACCCCTGCAATCCCTTCTACACTATCCCCCTTAGTACTACTGCCACCACCAAGACTTTTAAACCCGGGCGTCTTAGGTTACCCCACACACAGGAGAATTATAGTATCACAGTTCTACTTTTACTGATAAAACATATATAGTTAACCCTTTTTGGTAACGTGTTTACCTGAGCTTTCCTCTGGAGAGTGAAGCTCATAGAGAACAGAGACACAAGCTGATTAAGTAAACATTTAATCTGACAAAAAGGATTCACAGTGCTGAGTACAAAATACAGAAATAAATGACATACAGATAACAAATTGCAAAACAGTACATAAAATAAAATAGGAGAAAACACAAGAAATTCCTTACATATATTTACCCCATATAGAATTCTTGTGGGAGTCTTAGATGGTATAGGTCTCCTAGAAGTTACTGACAAAAGAAAAAATGAAATAACTGGCTTCCCTGGATAGTCCAACACCCTTATATATCTAAACTAGTTGTTTCTCAGTGGGCAGACCCCTGGGGGGGGATCAGAGGGGGTTGGTCTGGCAGTCTATTGCCCACTCTATGAAATTCCTTGTGTCCAGCTCTGGTGATGGCTATCTAGATGTTTTATGGTCTAGGCCTGGTGCAAGATCAAAGACCACAATAAATGTCATCCCAAGGTTTACAAAAAACAACTCTTAACATATATAAACACACATCAAACACCAACTCATGCTTTTGGCATGACAGACTGTTGTGGTTTAAATTCAGCAGACAGCAATGTTTTCTCTCAGGTATGAAGACAAGGAATGGACACAGCAGAAATACGAGCTCGGAGGGCAGTACTCATTCACACAAGTGTATGGCAGAATACTACACCTAATTTTAATGTGGAGAACACAGATCTTATAACAAAATTCTATACACATCCAAAAAGGGGTTGTCTTCACATAATACAGTCATGTCCTGTCAATTGCATATTCAAAGAACTTAAAGCACATTTGGCATTAGCTGGTCAAAAGGTGTTACTCGATTACACAAACGCTTCCCAACAAGGTGTTATCAGGATATGCAGTGCAGGGGGGGAAATAAGAAGAAGATACAAATCAGGATCAAAGGCCACCTGTTATAATAGAGCATCCTGACATTACTAAATCTACTGTGTAGTGTGACACAGGATATAAGGGGAAAGGTGCTCATTAATCCATATCATTCCAATCTTTTATTCTGAAAGAATAACAAATCAGTAAATTAATTAATTGTCTATTATAGCACTCAGGGAAGAAAAAAAACTTCAGAACCGTTATTTCTGAAGAAAATCTCCGGGGAGCCATGGCTATAATAAGACCGTCCCTCCCTCCTGGACGAATTAAGGTTTATTAAACAATTATTTAAATTTAGGGCTTGGTATAAATTCTTTACAGATCCAATAAAATGATTGTCTGTTTCCCATGATGAAGAAGATAAAGCCTGCTTAGAGTGAAATATATTAATAACATTTTACTATCACTTTTCTTTGGGATCAAATAATATTAATCAGCGCATAACCAAGTCCCATGGAAAAAAGAATAATTAGGGTGCACCGAGCACTATTGTTCATTCTGGATCAGTCTGAGGTTGAACGTTCTTTGCTTGGAATATCCAGAGTGCTTGATGGGACATCTTTTTAATCTGCTTGCATGATTCCATATCTGGTTCTCCTCGGTCAGAACGGCTCTTCTGGTGATAGCAACAACGGTTGTCAGAGGGCTGTACGTTGGATCAAAGGTTCCGGATTTGAAGAGGGATTTCACCAAGACTTTGTCTCCAGGCCTGAAAGGATGTGTGGTTGTACCTGAAGGATGAGGAAGAGATAGAGACAAATCACCATAGATGCCATTCAATGTGTCTACAAGGTTCAATACATATAACACAACATTTAGGTCTCCGCTCACCATCGGAGCACCTTTGGACTTACACCATGAAGTTGGAAAAGGTCTCCCCATTAAAATTTCAAATGGTGAATAACCCGTAGTGGAACTAGGGGTCATTCTGATCTCAGCTAAAACTGCTGGTAAATTGTCTGGCCAATTGCGTGTGCTACCCAAGCCTCCTTTTGTCAATTTCTCCTTGATCGTTCTATTCATCTTTTCTACTTGCCCTGATGACTGAGGGTGATAGGGTATATGAAATTTCCAATCTATACTCAACATTTTACAAACCTGCTGTGTAACTGCTGAAGCGAAAGGAGTTCCTTTATTACTATTAATCATAAATGGGCAGCCAAAACATGTCTACAATACAAGTAAATACTTAAGTCCACCTTTCTGCAGTTGTCATATGCATTAAGTCAATTTGTAAAATTAACATTGGGCCTTCCACTGGAGGTAACTGTGGTATGGTAGTATTAACTCTTGCACATGTTAAGCACCTGGATAAAAATATTGGTAACTGTCTGATCTAACCTGTTAATTACAAATCGTTCTTTTAGCATAGCCAATACCCCTCTTCGTCCGACATGTCCATAACCATGGAACTGTCGGACGAGTAACACAGAAGAAGCTTGAGGGATTGCTATGCGACCTTGAGGATACCAGAATTTGCATCAGGTGTAACAGAATGTATACTCTAGTAAGCTAAGTCATCCGAAGATGATGCAGCCTGCATAGAAAGAATATCAGTATCATCAGTATGAGTGGCTATATGCAGTTAAGACCTGGTCAAAAGAAACAGTACTGTAATCTGCCCATAAAGGAAAAGAGGCAGCTGCCCTTTTCGCCACCAAATCTGCAAAATCATTACCATCTCTGACCATGGAGTGATCTGTATCATGGCCCTTGCACTTCACAATAGCTAAAGATCTAGGTAACAGTATGGCCCTCAATAATCCATCAATTAATGCAAAATGAGAAACAGTTCGACCATCAGCTGCAACAAAGCCTCTAGCCTGCCAAATGACACCAAAATCATGAACCACTCCAAAGGCATATCTCGAATCAGTATAAATAGTCACATCTTGATCTTTAAAAGCAATACAAGCTTGTGTAAGAGCAATCAACTCCGCCTGCGCTGAGACAAAAGTTAAAGAACCTGCAGCTATTACACTATTAGGTATTTGTACAACTGCAAAACCACAAAGGAAAATAAACCAATAACTGATTTCAAAACTCTGACACAAAATCTTGCTCAGCCCAGAAATACACAGAACCAACCTACATCAGTACCAGGTCTACCATGTTTAGTGTCCAAATTAAGACCCATTTCTGTTGGTGAAATATCAGCATATTTAAAAACAACAGACAATAAAAAAAACCAAAATCTGCCCCTCCAAACTGTTGATCCATTGTTACTCTTTTAAAATAATTAATAGCGCCTTCTGGAAGCTTAAACGGATCAGGACACTGAGTCCTAAGAGACACCAAATGTGATCCATAGGGAGGCTTAATTATAACAGTCTCACCAGCAACTACAAAAGGATAGGCAGAAGCAGACACATGACTGGGAACTAGTACACCATGACTCTTATAACCCTCATCCAACACTAAAACACTATCAACATGCTTATTCCCTGCACCAACATCCACAGACTTTCTAGTCACTTTCTAATTTTTTCATACCAACATCAACATTTTCTGCAGTGGATCTCACCATTGCAGAAGGATTCACAACCATCTATCCAACATGCCTTTTCCCTCTACCAATCGCCATAAAAATTTCATCAGTATCAATATTCCGAAAAATCTTTTTTTTAATTCATCCAAACTGGGATATAATGGTACAACAAAAAGCACATAAGCAGGTGATGCTGCAGAAGCCTGAACATACTTTGTAGTCTGATCAGGGACAAACTATAACTGAGCACACGTTAACCATCCTGTAGCTGCATTATGCATATACTTTTTATCCCATTTTGGATCTCCACCTGGACCCCACTTTTTAAAACCTTTAATACACATACCTTTCAGCATTTGCAAATGAAAATCACTAAAAGAACCCTCTCTTGGCCATGAATTACAAATCATTGTATCAAAATTTTCTGACCATGCAACTAAATTTGTACAAAATGGCTCAGCATAGTAATTTCCAATAGTTTCTTGAACAAAATGTCATGGAGTTTGGCCTAATCGAGGACCCTGAGATTTGACTTGGGGAGTACATGACGCAGCACTATTAGGGACATCTTTAGATTATTGAAATTTTACAGAATTTTGTTGGGAAATTATTTTTTTTACCATTACTGGAGCCCATTTCCAACTTCACACAGATAACACTTTACAATATATAACACTTTATATATAAGCAATGCACACTTTTTTTAAACAATACAACTATACATGTAGCGCTGCAATAAACAAAAATAAGATTTATTTTTACTGTGTCCAAACTGTGCATTCAATATAGTGACTAAATGTGGTCACTCAGTGGGACTGCTATACCCACTATATACAACTTACCGATAAAATGGGACTTTAACCCATAAAATATAAATGTTTCTCTTATACAACTTATCATGGGACTCTAACCCAAACTTATCATGGGACTCTAACCCATACTTATCATGGGACTCTAACCCATACTTATCATGGGACTCTAACCCATACTTATCATGGGACTCTAACCCGTACTTATCATGGGACTCTAACCCGTACTTATCATGGGACTCTAACCCATACTTATCATGGGACTCTAACCCATACTTATCATGGGACTCTAACCCGTACTTATCATGGGACTCTAACCCATACTTATCATGGGACTCTAACCCATACTTATCATGGGACTCTAACCCGTACTTATCATGGGACTCTAACCCATACTTATCATGGGACTCTAACCCAAACTTAATATGGGACTCTAACCCAAACATAACATGGGATTCTAACCCAAACTTTATATGGGACTCTAACCCATACTTATCATGGGACTCTAACCCGTACTTATCATGGGACTCTAACCCATACTTATCATGGGACTCTAACCCATACTTATCATGGGACTCTAACCCATACTTATCATGGGACTCTAACCCGTACTTATCATGGGACTCTAACCCATATTTATCATGGGACTCTAACCCATATTTATCATGGGACTCTAACCCATATTTATCATGGGACTCTAACCCATATTTATCATGGGACTCTAACCCGTACTTATCATGGGACTCTAACCCGTACTTATCATGGGACTCTAACCCGTACTTATCATGGGACTCTAACCCATATTTATCATGGGACTCTAACCCGTACTTATCATGGGACTCTAACCCATACTTATCATGGGACTCTAACCCATATTTATCATGGGACTCTAACCCATACTTATCATGGGACTCTAACCCATATTTATCATGGGACTCTAACCCATATTTATAACAAAAACAAAAAAAGAAAGGCAAAACAAAAACAAGAAAACATTACTTTTCTGCAACCACAAAATTTTGTTCAGAGAATCCAAACAGGGCAAAGAACACAAAAATAAAACACAAAATGTTCTTACCCGATTTGGATTCTCTCTCCACTTCTGACACCATATTGTTGTGGTTTAAATTCAGCAGACAGCAATGTTTTCTCTCAGGTATGAAGACAAGGAATGGACACAGCAGAAATACGAGCTCGGAGGGCAGTACTCATTCACACAAGTGTATGGCAGAATACTACACCTAATTTTAATGGGGAAGACACAGATCTTATAACAAAATTCTGTACACATCCAAAAGGGGTTGTCTTCACATAATACAGTCATGTCCTGTCAATTGCATATTCAAAGAACTTAAATCACATTTGGCATTAGCTGGTCAAAAGGTGTTACTTGATTAAACAAACACTTCCCAACAAGGTGTTATCAGGATATGCAGTGCAGGGGGGGAAACAAGAAGAAGATACAAATCAGGATCAAAGGCCAGCTGTTATAATAGAGCATCCTGACATTACTAAATCTACTGTGTAGTGTGACACAGGATATAAGGGGAAAGGTGCTCATTAATCCATATCACAGACTCTATAGGCACCCAGACCACTATTGCTCATTGAAGTGGTCTGGGTACAGTGTTCCAGGCCCCTTAACCTTGCAATTGTAATTATTGCAGTTTTTTGATAAACTGCAATAAATGCATTGCAGGGTTAACTCCACCTTCCAGGTGGTTAGGTGAATTTTGATCGCTTACAGGGATCCTATAGTGCCAGAAAAACAAATCCGTTTTCCTGGCCCTATAGGTTTAAAAAGTGCACCTCCCCTCGTACCCCTCCTCCCGCGGGGTTGAATCTAGTCCCTCGGTGTTGGGACAGGCCCTGCCCGCACATCAGTCGGCGGGGAAGAAATAAGTGCATGAGAGTTCCCCATAGGAAACCATTAAAAGCATTATTCAATTATTTCCTCTGGGGAAAATCTGACGCTGGAGGTCCTCATGTTGAGCGTCAGGACGTCCAGCGTCAGATAACGGGCCAAAGATCCATCTAGATTATGGAAGTGCCCCCCAGTGGCTGTCTGTTAGACAGCCACTGAGGGCAGACTTAGAGCTGCAATTTAAATGCTCTGCATCACCCAAAATCCAATAGGAAAGCATTACACAACTTTGTTTTCCTATCACTATAGTTTTCCTTTAACAACTATTTTCTTGAATTTAGTCTGCAATTAGCAGTCCCCTTTCAATTATCCACAATTTCCCAGTTTAGAAAGGAATCTGGACTGTTTTCCTTGTTTTGTACTGTACTGAAAAAAAATGTATAAAGTGAGTTGTTCCCACCATGGGACTCAAAGAATTTAGAGCACCCTTAATGCATCACTTCGCTGTCATGTATTTCACTTTCAAATAAAGTGCCAGAATTTTTTTATTTTTTATTTTTTTAATACAACTTCACTAAAAAAAGCAATGATTCAGTGCATATGTGTACCCAGTTTGGCAAGTTTCAGCTTTGTAAACTTTTAGTCTCCGGTCAGCCTATAGATGTAACAACTACAAGTGAGTAGATAAATGCATCCTCAGTATTTACAACAAATTAGTAATGTGCCAAATCTACCAGAAAGTGACTCTTGTCCAGGCA